GTTTATTTTAAACGATTTTCATCTACTGCCCACTAGCGGTCACGCAGGGGTACGTAGAATGATAAACAATATAAAAAAAATGCTTTTACTGGCCAGGACTAGAGAAAGATGTCCAAAACTATGTTCGAAAATGCCAGAGCTGTCAAAAAATGAAGCACTCAAGGCATACAGTTGAGCCATTGGAAATTACAACTACGGCCACAACTGCCTTTGAAAGAATTTTCTTAGACATAGTTGGTCCTTTAGATAGAGACTTAGACGGGAATGTTTACATTCTCACATTACAGTGCGATTTAAGTAAATTCGTAGAGGCTTATCCTTTACCTAATAAAGAAACTATTACTGTAGCTAAGGCCCTAGTTAATAATTTTATTTTAAGGTTCGGTATACCAAAATGCATTGTCACTGATAGAGGTCAAGAATTTTTATCGTCAACTATGGCAGATGTTTGTAAATTACTCGAAATCGAAAAATTACATAGCACTTCATACCATCATCAAACTTTAGGCTCGATTGAAAATACGCATAAACATTTAGGAGCTTTTCTTCGCATTCAGTGTGATAAGCACCCGGAGGCATGGAGCTACTGGCTCCCCTACTGGTGTTTTTCGTACAATAATACTGTCCATATATCCACTAAATATGCGCCGTATGAATTAGTATTTGGAAAACATTGTGTAATTCCTAGTAGACTAAGTAATAGAGTTGAACCATTGTATAACATAGATAATTACTGTTTAGAATTAAGGTATAGATTACAAGTTGCGCAAAAAGACGCTCGTGAAAATTTGTTATCAGTGAAACAAAACAGAAAAAGTGTGTACGACCAAAAAGTGAACTCAGTGAAATATAATCCATCCGATTTATTATTAGTGAAAAGTGAAACCGGGACTAAGTTACAAGTACTGTATGATGGACCTTATTTAGTATTAGAGGATATTGGACCAAATGTTGTTATATTGAAAAACAATAAACGAGAAATTATTCATAAGAATAGAACTAAGCCGTTTGTAACTAATATTAAGTAGTGTATAGAATTTCTGCGCGCAGTACATTCTTTTCAGTAGATTGTTAGTTTTATTATTAAACTACATGGTTTTGTTTATTCTATATAGTTATAAAAAAAAACATTTTGTTTACCAAAAAATTTTTTTTTTCAAATCAACCCCTGTAATGTGGTGTGAGTATATGCATGTTAGTGTGTAAGTATGTGTAAGATTATAGTAAGCATCATTATTGTGGAAAGTACTCAGTAATAAATGGATCGTGACGCTAAACAGTAGTTTGTCATTTGACACCCCTTAGTCCCGGGATACTACAAGGGTAAACACTGAACTTATTTAAATTTCAATAAGTTATTTACTTAACTTTTTGAAATTATAAATTTATTTATTTAGGGTCAACGCCATAATATATATGCAGCAATGTATCATTGAAGAAATAGCTTGCGCTATCTGCTTTCACAATTATAGGTAACCACAACGCGCACATTTTTTTAAGCTTCTAGTAATAGAAACAAATAATTTAATGTGATAAACAAGTGTTTTAACTGTTCTCTGTGTCAGGAAACTGTAGGGCAGGCTGCGAATCATATTTTGCACTCGTACAATTGTGTTTCATGTGCTAAAGTTTGCTTATAGCTCAACATAGCTGTTGTATAGTAGAGTTATAACTGTATATGAAAAAAGTTCCTATCTGTTACCTCTTGTGCAATGTAGTAAAATTGCCGACTTTACTTTCCTGATGTAAATTCTTCATCGATGGCCCTGAGCTTTTGTAAAAAATATTCTATCATGTTTCGTATTAATCAGTTTTATTTAATACCCTTGAGTAAACGGTGATTAATGCTCAAATCTACTGCTTTGTTAATCAGTGAGCGCTGATATGCTGCTGATGATGATTCAATGTGTAAATGGCGTGAATTTGTTTTATTCAAATCAAATCAAATCAAATCAAATCAAATTATTTATTTCAAATAGACCAAAAAAGGCACTTTTGAACGTCAAGCAAAAAAGATATCATAAGGTTTAACTTTATATATTGTGTCAGTCTGTCCGTCTGTCCTCTAGTGAAGCTATTTGCTCGTTCCAAAGTGTAGATTCCTATGGAGAAGAACGAGCAAAAAACTCCATGGTTACTCTTTTTCAATCACTTTTTACAATGCATTGTTACATTATTTAGATAGTTCCATTATGTGAGAACAGTGTAACACTAGTGTTTAACCAAAGGATCCGAAAAAGAAATGAACCTCAGGGACAGCAACTTTAGACAGTCTCGAGTTGACCAGTCCCAATAGGCGGCGTCCGTTCACGAACATGACACGTACACCAGCACCGCCCAACTCAACCATATTATAGGGAACCGAGCGGTCCAGTGCCCGTGCCACCGCCAATGAGACTCCTGAGTGAGCATGACAACTCCCAACTGACACAAGTACCAATATACTATAAGTCTATAAGTCTAACTCAATTATAATAAGTTACAGGGCTCTCACATTTACAAAAATCCAGTTTATCAACAATTAACAACATGGTGAATAATTTAATAATTGAGATCAAAATTCCTCTTAACCTTAACAATTTTTATCCTGTGCAGTCAAACCAGCCACCCTCCAAGCATTTTTATCTTCTATATAATCATTTAGTTTGTAGTATGCTTTCCTACATAATACTTTCTTTATACATAATTTAAATTTACTTTCATTAAGATTTTGTATTTCAGTTGGGATATTATTATAACATTTAACACATAATCCCATGAACATTACCGTAAGTTGACTATGCATAATACAACACTTTGGCAAATTATGTAGCAATTCTTTGGAGGTATGAATAACAGGGATATATTTTGGTGATATAAGGAGGTGGAGTGTGGCTTTCCATACATTGTAAAACTGGCCCAAACAGTGTATGGATTTTGCCTTTGACCTTAAGCTATACTTTCAGCGCACCATTATGCATTTGTGATTAATTTTGAGTTACCACTTTAAGAAGCTGTCCACACTAACTGTAAGATACTGCAGAGAGATGCGTCTTGACTATTTGAAAAGTAGAGATATTTTGGTACACTTCTATGAAGAAGTGGAGAATAGAGCAAGCAAAATGTGGTACCGAGACGTATCGTGTCAGGTGGAAGGTGTTCGGGACGTTTTGCATATAGTTGTAACCGATACTAAATTATTATACAAGCCTAGTCAAGCGGAAGCCTTTCACTTACGTACAGCCAAGCAGTAAGCCCACTATGTACGTGACGCGCGGACAGACACCGAGACACCCACTGGCCCCGCCGCTACCGGACACCTCGCTCCGCCCTACTAGCGCCCTACTGCTTCTACTCACTGATTCGCTCAACTTATCACATTCACATCAGATGGTATTTTCACGCCGGCTTTGTAGTTCACTAGTGCCTAAGCATGGCTACTTTTATTGTTTTATTTACTCAGTAAGTTAGAAAACTTGGAATCAGGGCCGCACAACTTCGACTTTTCACTAGTTACCTGTCTGGACGTACCCAATGTGTTCGAGTTGGAGAATGTGTAAGCGATTATTTCCCTGTCACACACGGTGTTCCGCAGGGTAGTATATTGGGACCCACCTTATTTCTCGTCTACATAAATGGGCTAACAAATCTAAACCTTGCATTGGGTAAAATCATCTCATTTGCCGATGACACGGCCTTGCTATTCGCTGGTGAAACATGGGAAGAGGTTTTCAGCGCCGCACAGGGTGGCTTTGACAGGACAAGAAGTTGGCTACAAAGAAATATCTTAACCCTGTGATGTTAAAAACTAAAATCCCAGCAACTACTATAGTCACAAACCACCGTCACAGATCATCAAGCGGTCATGCTAATGCTCTAAAATACAAACAAAATAGAAATTACGCCGACGGTAGTTTTATAAAATTGACAAAGAAAAGTTATCCTCAGAATTAGCTTAAATTAATTGGGACACAATTTATAGTTCAAACTCTGCCACTTATTCAATGGAATATGCTGTCACAATAACTAACAAGCAATAACTAATAACTCAATAATAAAGTGAGACAGCCTTCCGACAATTTAACCCTTAAATTAACTTTCACAAGATCCAGAAACTTTTGTACTCAGTTAATTAAAAAACTTAAAATGAAGGTTGTTTTTTTTTAAGGAAGCTGGTAATGCGAATGATAAACTTTGGGATGCAGGCAAAACCATCACACGTACATCAAAAAAAAAAAATACGGCTTCAGAATTAATTAACAGAGCTTCCCCTATTTCATCTGTAGCTGGTGATAGTGAGTTCTTCGTCTCGGTTGGAAAGAAATTAGCTAAGAAGACAATGGCCTGTGAGAATCCATCTCACTTTACTGATCACTTGTAGCAATGGGCTAATTTATACAATCTCCGGTATTCTTAAACACTGATCATACTGAAGTGGAGCGCTTGATCTTGGATCTCAAAACTGTCTGCTCGGTAGGATGGGATACTATCTCTGTCTCTTTAAGGAAAATAAAGTACTCTTAGTCCCTGTGTTAATCCAAATTTCCAATTAATGTTTGCATAAAGGAACTTTCCCAATAGTTCTAAATAAATCAGTGGTAATACCAATCTACAAAGCTGGCAATAAAAACCATGTTACAAACTACAAGCCCATCTCAAGCTCTTGGAAAGCATCATCAATAGTAGAATTGTCAGATTCTTAGAAGCTAAGAACTTACTCTCAAAAAACTAATTTGGCTTTAGAACTGGCAAATCGACATGCGATGCGGTCCATGAGCTTGTGGATAATATAGTTGGTAATATTGATGCTGGTAATAAACTATTGAATATTTTTGTGGACCAAGCAAAGACTTTTGCGTAAACGTATTTAGATATTAATAGAAGACATATATGTGGCAGAATATCTGTCGCAACTGGTATCATTATTGTCAATAGTATATGTTCAAAGTTATGTATGCTATAGGGCGACGAATGAAGGTAGCTTTGAGTAAACAAGTGTAGTGGAGTGGCAGTGTACTCACGAGGCAGGTGCGGAGCTGGGCCCGCACGAGGTCGGGCTCCAGCGCGGGCAGGCGCAGGTCGCGCGCCGCGTCGCGCTGCACGGCCGCCAGCGCCGCCGCCGCCGCCGCCAGCCGCGCGCCCAGCGCCGCCGCGTCGTCGTCGGCGCCGGGCGGCGCGCAGGCGTCGCGCAGCGCGCTCTCGGCGTCGGTGAAGCGGCGCTGCAGCAGGTCGAGCTGGTCGTGCAGGCGCGCGGCGGCCTCCAGCTTGCCGGCGCGGCGGTAGGCGTCGGCCTGGTCGCGCACGTCCTGCAGCAGCGCGCGCGGCGCGGCGGCGTCGGCCAGCAGCGCGGCGGCGGCGGGCCCGCGCGCGGCGGCGGCGGCGTCCAGCCACTGCTGCAGGCGGTCCACGGCCACGTCGGCGCGCGCCGCCTCGCGGGCGCCGCGCTCCAGCAACGCGCTGCGCGCGGCGGCGGCGGCGCGCAGCGTGTTCCAGGCCTCGGTGACGGAGTCTATCTCGGCCTGGATCCAGCCGGGCATGATGTGCGCGTCTATCAACTGGCGCCCGATGTCCTGTATGCGCGACAGGCGCTCGTCGCTGTGGTTCTGGATGTAGTTCTCCAGATCCTACGATGTTACATCAATGTTTTTTGCGAGTTAGGCGCTTAGCGTTCCGCACGCGCCACAGACAACATCTAGACCATCACAGACTACGCCCTACAGACTGAGGCTGACTCAGCCGGGGTTGCGGACAAACGCAATATGGCACTTGATGATTTATCCCTCACAAAAAAACCTATTTCATTCGTGTCAAAAAGTTTCCACTACTAAAATATTATGAACTTTATTTTAATAAAAGTGTTACCAATATTTTAATTTTCGTCGCGATTCATCGATTTGTATGAAGTTGGAACCCTGTGGTGTGGCCCACGATATGTATGGATAATGTATAATGGATGAATGAAGCAGCAGCAGCAAGAGTACTGACGTAGAGCTCGTCGGAGATCTCCTCCGCGTCTGCGGGCGCGTTGGGCGAGCGGCGCAGGCGGCGCTGCAGCCCGTCCAGCCACGCGCGCTCCTGCGTCAGCCACGCGCGCAGCTCCCCGCTCTCGTGCCACGCCTCCGCCAGTACCCTACACCAATACTATGCCATTACGTCTGTTCGCTGTCTTTCAAAGTATAAAAATAAACGAATGACGAAGAATTATCAATAAAATGGATGGAACATGAGGTACCGTGGAGTAATTATACATAACCAAAAGATGGTAGAGTGTAATAGTGCAGGGCCTCACTTGTACCGCTCGTAGACGCCGTGCGTGACGTGCGTCCAGCGCGCGTTGAGGCGCGTAACGCGGCGCGCCAGCTCCGCGCCCGCCGCGCCCGCGCTCACCAGCATGTCCCCGCCTGCAACAGCGCGCGTCACTCACCGGCTCGAGGGCTGCCCCCCCTCCCCCAGCGGCCGCGGGTACTCACTGGAGTCGTTGAGGTTGCGGAACTGCTGCGTGTGGTCGTCGCACTTGTCCTTGAGGGCCTGGAAGCGCGCCTTCATCTGGTAGAGCTCTGCGGAGTCGGTGATGCGGCACTCGTGCTCGGCCGGCAGCTGGCCCTCCAGCTCCTGCAGCCACTGCTCCATGTCCGCGATCTTGCGGAACACCGCCTCGGTGCGCTCCAGCCCCCTGCGCAGCTCCTCGTTCCGTTTGAACGCCTGCTGCGTGACGCTCTCGTATCGTTTCACCAGAGTCTTGGTGTCGTTCTGGACCATCTTAGCGATGGCGTCGTCGCAATCCTCGAGGATCGATTCTTTGGTGCTTTCCACCGTGTCTATTTCAGCTTTACATGTCTGTTTCTCCTCCTCGAATTTCTACAAAACAAGTAAACGAGTTAAAGTGACACAGGCCCAGGATGGAACCCAGGTGAGCGTACAGCGGGGCCTCACGTTGCTGGTGTCCAGCAGCAGCTCCAGCGCGTCCTGCTGGCCCAGCGGCACGTCCTGCTGCTGCAGCCAGTCGTCCAGGCGCTGCAGCCAGGCGCCGGCCGCCGCCGCGGCGCGCTGCCAGCGCTGCACCAGCTGCTCGCCTGCAACGCGACGCGCTAGTTGCAGTCATAATGTTTCTACTACCATTACTGAATGGCGACCTATTTTTAAGTAGTTACCGTTTTCTAGTTTTTTGATTTTTTCTTGTAATATTATTTTTGAGTCTTCGAACTTGGTGACCAAGTTTTCGAGGCTGCTTTTGAAGTTGAGTTCCTGCACGCTTCCTTTCTCGTAGTCGTCTTTCCGCTCGGCGATCACTCTGTCGTACGTGGACTGCAGCTCGTCGAAGTCGCGCGCCAGCTGGCGCAGCTGCCGCAGCTTGTCCGCCATAGCCTCGGGCGTCGAGATGACGGCGTGCTCCGCGATGATCTGTGCCTCCATGGCCAGGATCTTGTCTTGCAGGGTCTTGAAGTCGTCAGGCGCCGCGGCGAGCGCCGAGATTTCAGCGTCGCGCGTGGCCAGATCTTTTAGCAGGGCAGCTAGCGAGGCTTGCACCTCCTGCAGACGCGGCTCTAGGCAGGCGGCGGCGGCGCGCGCGGCCAGGCCTGTGGCCCGCGCCTGCAGCGCGCGCGCGGCCCGCAGGCGGGGCCGCAGATGCACGCGCTGGTTGTGGTGCGCGCGCGCCGCCAGGATGCGCGCGGCGGCGGCGCGCACGTCGCGCAGCTCCAGCTCTAGCGAGCACAGCTCCGGCTCCACCCACCGCGCCGCCTGCTGCACCCGCAGCGAGCGCACGGACGCCGCGATGCTGTCCCACCGCGCCTTGAGCTGGCGGATGCTGTCTGCGTGGCGCTCGGCGTCGTCTGCAAGAGCAAGGTGCGGTGAGCGCGGGCCGTCGCTCGCCCCGCGCCCCCCCTGGCGCAGCACTCACCTTGCAGGCCTGCCTCCGCCGCCAGCCTCCGCTGTATCTCCTCCACGTTCGCGAAGTCCGCCCGTTGTGTCTCCATTTCTTTTTCCACGCGTTCCAAAACTACCGAGATTTCCACTTTGCCACTTTGATTTTCGAGTTCTTGCTTACACTAAAAAACAAAATCGATTATAAAATAGGTCCAAGGCACAACAACTGAATCGTGTAACGTCATAACACTACAACACTAACATCTTCGAGCGATTTCTCTGCATCGGCAGCCCAGGTCTCGAAGGACTTGTAACCTAACTGGAAGTCAGGCTGCGCGTCCTCCGCCATCCGCGGCTTCTTGCTGTCGCTGGGCGGCTCGTCGCGCGCCGCGTCCTCGCCTTCAGATGCAGACTCCGAGTCGATGTCGAAACCCAAATCCTTTAACTGAAATGACATGAAACGACCCTCGTGTTACGTTTGCGTGTGTGCGCGCTGCGCAACAAGAGAGGAGGCGCACGCACCCGCTGCGCCTGCACGTCCAGGATGAGCAGCAGCGCGTCCAGGCGGTCGTGCAGCGCCTCGGCGCGCTCGAGCGGCGCGGAGGGCGCGGGGTCCTGCAGGCGCGCGGCCGCGTCCAGCTGCGCGGCGGCGGCGCGCTGGTGCTGGCGCAGCGCGGCGCGCAGGCGGCGCAGGTCGGCCAGGCGGCGCAGGCCGGCGCCCACGTCGGCGGCGGGGTGCGCCTCCATGTGCTTCAGCTCGCTCTCGCAGGCGTCGGCGGCGGCCAGCAGCGCGGCGTGCTGGCGGTCCAGCTCGTCGCACTGCGCCTCCAGCGCGCTCAGCCGCTCCAGCTGCTGCACGGTCCACTGGCACGTGTGCGACCAGCGCTCGCTCAGCGCCGTCAGCTCGTCCTCTATCTCCGTCACGCCTGCGCACGCTCCGCTTGCATTACCGCGCTCTACTCGAGCTACGCGACCTCCATCGCTGTCGTACGTACCGGCGTCCTGTGCGTCGTCGTCCACGACGATGACGCAGTCTGCCAGCGCGTCCACGGTGGGCTGGTGCGCGCGCAGGTCGGCGTGCAGCGAGCGCACGGCCGCCAGCTGCGCGCGCAGGCCGCGCGGCAGGCGCGACATGCGGTCCTCCGTGCGCGTCAGCCAGCGCCGGAACGCGGCCAGCTGCGCCAGCTGCGCGCGCATGAGCGCCGCGTGGCCCGCCGCCTGCGTGGCCAGCGCGGCGCGGCGCAGCGCCTCCCAGCGCTGGCCCAGCAGGCGCAACTGCAGACGTACCTCGGCGGCCTCGTCGCGCGCCAGCCCCGCGTCGCGCAGCAGGCGCGCGCCCTCGTCCAGCACGCCACCCACGCGCGCCTGCTGCGCCGCCAGCTCCAGCAGGAAGCGCTCGTGCGCGTGGAAGTGCGCCTTCAGCGGCGCCAGCTCGTCGCCGGAGGGCGCGGGCGCGGCCGCCAGTCGCTCCTCGGCCTCCAACAGCCAGCCGAGCACCTCCTCGAAGGCGCTGTAGTAGCCGCCGAGCTCCCCGGACCCCGTCGTGGCCGTCGACAGCGGCCGGCTGCCCGCCACCTGCCGACGCGTCAGGTCACTCACTACCTGTCACACGACCAGGAAGGAGTAGGGCACAGCGCGCGACACTTACCTCGGGCGGTTGTGTAGCGACCGGCGTGCCCGGCTCGGAGTGGATGCTGTCCATGTCGGCCACGTCCTCGCTGGAGTGGGGCAGCGATTGGAACAGGCACATCACGTACATCATGATCGATTTCTTGTCAGGGTTCGGAGTATTCACATCTGCAACAAACACATGCTCATACACCCTGCGGACGGCGTCGGCGGGCGCAGGCTAGGGAGGGGCGCACCTTCGGGGTCGAGCAGGCGGTCGATGCCCAGGTGGTCGTGCGCCAGCTGGAAGGCGTGGTCCAGGCGTGCGCCCGCCGGCCGCGCCACCACGCTGGCGTAGTCGAACAGCTGCGGCCGCCAGCGGTGCAGCAGGGCGTTGAAGGCCAGGCCGTCCGACCACGACGTCGTGAAGTTCTTGACGTTCACGCCGGCGTAGTTCTGTGAACCGACAGCACGACACTCGTTATAAGGTCCGCGCAGACTCACCCCGGCTCGAGCCAGCGCCCAGCGCCCTCACCTGTGTTTGGGTGCGGCACCAGGCCAGCAGTGTCTTCTCCAGGTTGGTCTGCTGCAGCTCCGACATGAGCTCCTTGAGGTGGTAGTGCACCTGCCAGTGCAGGATGATGCTCCACACCAGTCCTGCGCAGAGAGAGCGGTCACAGAGCAGTGCGGGAGGGTGTGGCGGGCTAGGGGGGAGGGATGCACTCACCGAGCGTCAGCTTGGGATTGGCGTCCACGATGTCGTTGCTGCTGATGTTGACGAGCTTGACTCCGTTGGAGTCCAGCACGTGCAGCGCCGTGTTGACGTTGTTGATGTGGTGCACGCGCATGCGGCCGCGCTCGCGTTTCTGTAACGAGACCTCGTGAGCTCCGACTCGCGCGCCACCGAGCGTACAGGCTCCTGCCTGGCCGCCATACTTACATACTGCTGGGCGGTGAGGATCTCGAGCAGAGACAGCAGCACCTCCCCGTCCCGCAGGTCCAGGAACAAGTCCTCCACCAGCGGCTTGTCGTTCTGCCGAGTGACACACATACACCGTACACAACTACACTTGGCGCGGTCCCCGATACTTATCGTCTTATACTCTTTACTGGTTGCACTACTTGCATGTGGTGGAAATAAATGTGTTTGACTTTGCCAGTACTGACTTGATTATATGCACTTCCTCTTACTGGCGCATTGTTCATTCTATAGCGTTTTTGAATATCAAACATACCGAAGAACTACAGAAGCAAGAGGGGCTCTATCGAAAGCTGTAGTTACATCATCAATATTATTATACTTTTAATGTTTATATATGTAATTGGCGGTGGATCAACCTGAATACCGTAATAAAGCTTACAAATACTATGAATACGCTATGATAATAAACTTTTTTGTTTCCATAGTTTGGATAAAATAATATTACGTCGCCATTTGTTCTTTTATATTTCGTGAAAATACTTTTGAAGAAAATGTAATAACTAAGTATGGATGGATATATGTACATACAAAGCATAACTGAGCGTCGCAATCACCACACAGTATTTCTTGTTTAATGGGTCACTTTATTTTATAGTTCAGGCTAAAAGTTGAATGGTTGGGCTGAAACTATGAAAATCACATGTTTTGGAAAGGAGTTTATCTTGCATTGTGGGTGCGATTTCAAACACTGAGCATTCCTCGTTTCTTTTTAACATTGTATCTGTGCCACCACTTCGACATCGAGGAAGAATTTAATTCTATTTTAAAACACCCAAATTGGTAACAACTATTTGCGAATCACATAAATAATGTTTCCATACGGACATCGAACCCGCATTAGGTACGTTGCTCAGGTGCCGTCGGTCAGCTACTGCACCAAACGACAATCTTACTTCATACACATGTGTATAAAGTATAGAATAGTGTTGTCCGCGCGCACACATACATACCTTCACTAGCTGAGAGTTTATCCATTTCGTAAACGTCTTCTTTTGAACGTCTTCTCGTTCGTCTGCAACAAGAAGCAAACGTTAATGTCGATCATATTAGTGAGCCAGCACTCCGTGTAGCACCCACGTGTCCCAAGCCACACAATACTACAGATTCATGGATCAAAATGCTTTACCATAGCCCATATTACATGGCTATAATTTTTTTTATAAACTACCGCAACAAATAAAAGAACAACCCGTATTCAATATATTTAACAGGATATTATAAGAATACCTAATACAAAGATGTTTCTACTCGGTCGCAGAATACTTAGAATAAATTCGGAATAACGACGCATATACAGCAATATAAATTAATTACTAAAAAAAAATCATTTAAATTAAATTGCATTTTTAACTATGTGTAATGTTTAAGTTATAATTAATTTAAGTTACTTACTTATAAGTTACTATTATTATGTTGCCGTGCCCTAACCGGGTGTCATGTTGGAACTTACTTATACGTATTATTGTAACAACAAAATGTGTACACATGAATGCATTAAAGACTTTGAACTTTAGAAAAGTTTACTTAAGTTTTTCGCTACATTCCGACAACATGATTCTTCTGGGGTTTATGTAAACAATAATGTTAGTATTAGAATATACACTCCGCACGCTGCCCGCGCCGCCATACTGAGCTTCGCCTCCGGGCTTCTCTTGCATACAAATTCTTTGATTACGCTACTAGTTAACAGAAGCGGAAGGAGCCGGGTCGATGCCACCCAGCTATACCCCGCAGGTATCTAAATCTTTGTTTACCTGCTTCATCTGACACATATTGTTATAGGAATATGATATTCTGCTTCCAAATCAATCTCGTAACTATTTCTAACCTACTATTTCATGAGATTAATCTACAAATCCTGATCCTCTCTGGACTCTGGACGACTAGAGCCACACACAACAAGGAACATGTGTCTAACCAAATGCATGGCAGGATATATAGGATTCGTACATAGGTACACTACACACAGCTGTCCATCACGCTCAAAACCTGCAGAGGCACCTAACCTCCACATTGATCTAGACTTAAATGATAACAAAAAGATCTAGGCTTATATGCTCCAAATAAGGCCCGGGGCGTGCGGACGCTGAACTCCAAATCGAATATTACTGACACAAATAAATAAATATCTATGTGCTGCCGTATGATAGTCACTATGTAAACATTGCATTACATAAATAACTAACGTGTTCCAAATGTGTCTCCAACTACAATACGGTGAATGACGAGTACTTTATAACGATAATACAGTATAGTATAATATGGTTATATCGGAAGTGATTGTGCTGTGGGACCCTAAGAAGTAACATTTAATTAAGGCATTCGACGTGCAAGTTAAGCACTAACAATATCCGATGGTGCGCGTTACATTACTGAAGATGCCGAAACATTCCATGTTTCAGTGCTTGCCAATCATTTCCACTAATTTCTCTTCATTAAGCGGAGCGTGCGCGGCGCTCGCGGTGCTTCCCTCGCCTCCCGGCAGAGCAGAGCCCACGCCACTGACGCATCGCACGCACTGTCGAGCGTCGTTGGCGCTATTTGTTTTAAACGACTATTAGGTGGTCACCATTTCTTCGTAGTTTAAACTCCTTTTTAATATACTTGAGTATTGAATGTCTCTTTAACTTCTTTCACAATTTATTTTCTTTTTTTAATAACTAATTATACAAAAATTTGGCGTTTAATCAACTCTCCTGATGGCTCGTAAGCCATGTATTTACTCGGAACCGCAGAGAGAAGACACCTTCTGGAAAACAGACTCTAGCAAGACACTTCACTCTAGCGGTTTGCACGCTTCGAGCCATTGGATGAATGATTTACATTTAGCGTTTTTGCGTTTCTCTTGTGGAAGAGAGTGAAAGAAATTACGTCACTGAAATGTGGAATAGAATAGAATGTAAATGTATGTATGTAAACGCACCCACGACACAGGAGAAAATCCTAGTGTAGGGCAAAGTTGTTTTTAAAGTACATACTTTTTTGCATAATTAGTCGCTACAATTATATAAATGTGCCTAATCTTGTGCAATTTTAAGAAAATCCGGAACCCGAACCCACTCTCCATTTTCTTAGGTAAGTACTGACATAAATAAAAAAATTATTATTAAAAAAACAAAATACCCGACTGCACACTAAAAAAAGAGTAAAACAAGCCCCACAATACAAATTTACTGAATATAATTTATAAATGTTGATGGAAAGCATCGCAGGCGGGGACCAACAGAGGCTTATTTATAGTCATTTCTGTTGTGCACCATTTAGCAGAATTTTCGTTGGTGGCGGTCAAGGTGGTCCCCGCCTGCGATGCTTTCCATCAACATTTATAAATTATATTCAGTAAATTTGTATTGTGGGGCTTGTTTTACTCTTTTTTTAGTGTGCAGTCGGGTATTTTGTTTTTTTAATAATAATTTTTTTATTTATAACTTTTTAGCTGTTTTTATTTAACGTTACTCCCGTGATTGAAATGAATCTAATGATACCGCATACATATTTTTTTAAAGGGAAATTTAGAAAAAATATTATTATGTCTTTATCCCGTGGGACTTTTAGGATAAAATTGTATCCTATGACACTCCCGTAATCAAGACAAATCTAACGATACCTCATACATCAAAATCCAACAAGCCGTTTAGGCTACAGGAGGTCACAAAGGAAAAGACATACATACATACTTACATACACTCGAAAAACATTACCCTCCTTCTTTGGCAGTCGGGTAAAAAATACCAGAATTATTTAGAGTTTCTAACTCACTTTTGACTGTTACATTGAAATATCAGAAGTTAATACTAAGTACTAGTACGTACGTAGTAAGTACTGAGTCTAAATGGTAGCGCTCTATTGCGTGTACTTATATATAAATGCAGGCCCATACTCCCATGTTCGTCTCACGCGAATTAGTGACTATTAGTGGTACAGCAGCTGCTGACCGCGCGCAGCATAGTCATTGCTCGGTCCACCCAGAGCCCACAGACAGCTCTCGGGCGCTCAATGAAATTAGTGGCGTGACATCATCGCGGTTATTGCGCTAGCCAACGAACGCACTGCTCACACGCCGCGCCAGTGCTAGTGATACGTTCACGACCTAACTTCTAATAGGCGACTCGATATACCTAAAACACATCCAACTAAGAAAGAGTATCATCGTGTTAATGGGGATGTTGACGGCATATACCATTATACCAAGGATAAAAATTTTGGTTATTGTGATCAACGAATCTATTGATTTCACAGAATTAAAAAATTCTGCACGAAGGCTTTAGGCATCCAGCTATTGCTAAACCCGCGCGGGAGTACCAGGGTTCAGTACTTTATTACTAACTAGCTACAGTTAGTAGTATTGTCGCCTACAGTACTGCCTACGAATTATTTAAAAAATAAAATATAGCGAAATACAAAAAATAAATAATTAGTAACTACTATTAATTGACAATATTACATTAGCCGCCATCAGTACTTACAGGTATACAAAGTATGGTTGATCCAATCTATGTTAACCTTACTTTAGGTGTTGAGTAATTAGTGCCTATTTAAAATGTCGAGTGCCTATGATGCGCTCTGATATGAAATACATCAGCCTATAAAATAATGAAAACTCTAATTAGATTAGTAGTAGAACTGTGTGATCCAAACGAGCTCCATGAGGAAGAACATGATCTGCTGAAAGATGATCTCTCTAACATTTCCTACATGTAGCTTTCTTGAACACAATTGGTGCATGACAGATTCTGCACGTCGCAACAATCTTACTAACACATAGTTAATGCAAGATGTTGTCACATACTAGCACATTTTACAAGCGACCTGCCCCGGCTTTGCGTGGGTGCAATGTTGATACTAAGTTCTACACTATTTAATCAATGTTATTTTACATATAAACCTACCTCTTCAGAAAAACAAGTCAACTACGCTTGCAGCCTTTTCTTTAATAAAAAATTTGACGGAATTTCTAGACAAGAGGAAGCGAGCCTCTGCCATCTTTTTTGATATGTCTAGCGCTTTTGACTTTGTTGATCATCAAATCCTGCTACAAAAATGTGAATACTACGGGATCCGAGGAAATGCACTGCAGTGGTTAGCTAATTACCTAAGAAATCGAAAACAATGTGTAGAAATTATTCGCGTTGACAAAAATCTTATTTCTACATCACACAAATCTCCTTATCAACTAAATAGTTTCGGAGTACTTAATATATATTAACGATCTGCCCCAAGTTACATTAAGTGCACTCTTTTTGCAGATGATATTTCCATAGTACTTAGTACCTGAGTATAACAAAGATTTTCTGAATACAAAGAAACACTTAACAGCACAATAGAAAACGTAGCAAGCTGGCTCAGTGAAAACAACCTCACAGCTAACATATCTAAAACTAAAATTATCCAGTTTAGGAACTACAATAGCAAAACTCAAAATTTAGAAATAAATTATCGCGGTCAAAAAGTTGAGGAAATCGATGAAACAAAGTTTTTAGGGATTTTCCTAGATAAACATTGTAATTGGAAAGTGCAGGTAAATAATGTTTGCAAACGTATCAACAGGTTCGTGTATGCTCTTAGAAAGATACGTAAACTCGCATCTGAAAAAACTGCACTATTAGCATACCATGGATACGTAGGCTCAATTTTGAGGTATGTCATTTTACTATGGGGTAATTCGGTAGACATTAATAGAGCATTTATATCCCAAAAAAAGTGTATTCGGGCAATAAGTGGTATTAGTCCAATGGAGTCCTTTAGACCATTCTTTAAAAAAATTAAAGTGCTCCTGATAACATGCCTCTACATTTATGAAGTTGGGGTATTCGTTAAAAAACATGGTAGGTTATTCGAGAAAGTTAGCGAAACCAGAAAGTATCTGTCCAGAGACCTGAGTAAGTTGGTTCTTCCTATGATGTCGACTACTTTGTTTAAAAGGAACTGTTATTGTATGGCTATCCAAATATTTAATAAAATACCTAAAACTGTAGGGGAACTACCACTGTGTAAATTTAAGAATGTGCTCAAGAAATGGCTTTTAGAGAAATGTTTCTATTCTATGGCCGAGTATATGGCTCATAAGGAAAAAACTGTTTAGGCTAGGCACCATAAATTCTTAATATTGTATTATAAGTTTTTTTAGATTTTAAATTGTTATTTGTTTTTAATTTTTTCTAGTTGATAAATACCCTTTCTATTTATATTTGTATGCCGATGCTAAGGCGAAACATGCAGAACTTATCACAAATGTTACATCTATGTACCCCGTGTTTCATACAAATGAAGATTTCTTATTCTTATTTCTTATTCAATCTCACTATATATTAAAAAAAAACATATCAGAATCAGTTGTGTTGTGTTTCCAATGCTATGTTAGTAGCACCAGGGCAGGGTTGTTGCTGACCAATGTAACTACTGTTTTATACAATCCAACTCTTAAGTTACTTCATATTGCATATACATGTTAAAATAATGAATCAGAACTGGTATGGTTTTGGCATCTATAGTATATTGCTTTTTATTAAAGGCAGATTATTAGTAACTACCTTTATACACATTAAATGACACCCAGCCTCCTTTTTTAAAGTGGGATAGTCATCAAAAGACTAATCTCCTCCTGGGGGTGGGGGGGGGGGGTTTGATGGCAAACATACTCTTACAAATGACCCTCAATTCCTTATGGGGGAAAAAAGAATTAAAATTCTTTGTAATTGTGTAGATATGCCAAATGTTTTTGTATAATAATTTATTAACTAGTATCACTTTAACTTTAATTTAGTTATTAAAGTAAATTCCGAAATAAAGATTAATTACTAATAATGGACGAGATTGTTACAAAATTACCAACAGAGGTTCAGGACTTCAGATATATACTGAAATATTTTTAGTACACACATTAAGTTGTGTTGTTGAAATATCTTTGTACTTTACATAGTTTGTATAAATTACAATTTCATTTTTGTTATTTTTATTAAAGTTCTGTGTTAGTTTTTCAATGATTTTAAGTCGGCATGAGATTATTTAAGCACTCATTTGAGCAAAGGTACTCAAGATTAAACTCAAAATAGACATAAAATAAATCATTATTGACATCTGCATCTCCCAAAAACTAAGTATAAATGTGCTGGTTGTATAATTAATTTATCTTTATTTGTATACCTGACATGTGTGAGCATACTAAATTAACTAAAAATCGCGGGTTACTCACGTGTAAATATTGAGAAAAGCTGTACTAGTTTCGAACCACAGAGGGGTTCTTCCTCATGAGCAGCGTGCGCGGACGCGGCGACGTCGCGCAGCCTACTAGCGGTAGGCTGCGCGACGTCGCCATGTGTTGGTGTTGTTTACTAACATACAATTTCCCATTCACATCACACCCAGACCCGGAGCAACAATTACTGACTCCCACACCATATTGCATGACTGCCAGTTGCCCAGTCACTGCATCGCCTGTGCCATGAATATAATTAGTTAATAACTAACTAGTCTCAAGTAACCCCAACTTTTAAATGTCATCCTAAAGACAATAAAACAACTGGCAAATACTGAGGCCTTGGTGTTGTTAACAGGCTTTCATTTGTTATGCAATTTGGCAAATTGTAAGTTACATAGTATCCATAGGCATCTAGAATATTCACACCTCCACGGAGGCAGCCAGATTTGTTGGTTGTAATGAGAGAACAGTTACATCTTTAAAGAACTATGTTAAACACAGCATCATGTCACTGTTTTAGCTCTGTTACAGTAATTGGTAAGTTACACTAATTTTAAAACCTAAGCAGCTTGCCAAACCTGTTGAAAGTATTCCTCTACTTCATTAAATGTAGGTAAAGTGGTAGATAACACATGAGTGTTGTTGGAATGGTCAACCAGTTCTTTGTGCTTGTGCTCGTACATCATACAACTTTAGCATTGAAACTTTGTGTCTTATTAGTGCAGCAAGTATGTCACCATAGGAATCCCATTAGACAAGCAGAATGAATGAAAGAAGAGCCAGCCCATGTTATCTGATGGTTATGTACACAGCATTACAGTGTGATAAGATAACGCGACAGTGCTGCGTCGCCCGATGGTGGCGGCGCCTCGGCGGCGGCCGGAGTCGGCGCGGGCGCAGGCCGCTTGCATCACCACCTCAACCCAGACTTGATTGCACTTAAACTTCTGACTAGTCAAGGTCTTTCTATGCTTACTAATAGTAAAGTGGCGCCGACGTTTTCCACATCTTACTTACCCACGTAACTCGGCTCCATTTTCTCAGAGACCTATCCGTCTCCGACCAAAAACCTTCGATCCAGTTTAAGTGATGATTGAAAAGTTTTTCTGAGACATGACAACACGCACTCACTCACTACCACTCCCGTGTAAACTTTGACCAAACTTTTATAAACAAGATTTCGTACTTAAAACTCAAAGTAATGAACCACCGCTACGAATTTTACTCTATTGACTTCAATTTATCAACACTGAATAGTTTTTGCCACACTTAATAAATGAGGATACAGAAACAGTGACACAGCATGGAAAACATCGCGGCACAGTAAGTTAAAATAACTTAGCAAGAAACTATGAAAATGACAGCGGCGGCGACAGCAACTGGCAGCGAGTCGAATGAGATGCGAATGCGAGTGAGTGAGATAACAATAAACGCCTATTACAAACCAACTTAGTTGTCAAAAACATGCCAACAGATGGCGGTAATAAGTGATTAATAGTTTTTTAAATTATGAAAGACCTTTTATTCATTTTACTGCTGAAGTAAAATAATTTGCTCTTGTTCAATAAAGCTAGAAGAAGAACAGTAAACACATAAAATTCGCCCAAATAAGGCGGTAAATTAATTATTTTTATCGTTTTCTGATGAATGCTGATATAATGTTCTATCAAGACGTTTTAAAACACGATCTGTGTGTGACGTGCTTATTATAATAATGTGTAGGCCATAGTGTTTCTATAGTTACCATAATTTATCTACCAGCAACACCCATAGCCATATAATTTTCTACCATACTGCTAACAAAATACTCCTGCATCAACCGGGGATTGTCATTGAGTGCACTTTCACGGTGCAAACAGGGCTACCTATTTAAATTGCTGGCGGATGTCCCATTCCACCACCATAAAAATTGTTAAAAAGGTCGCTGCTTCGTCACCTTGTACACCTTCGCGCGGGCCTCAAAGGGCCAATAGACCACGACAGCCAGGGTTGCTGGGCAATCGCGGCACGGCCCAGAGCAGGAAAAGGAACGAGGTAGTTTTAGTCAGTAAGAGTCTGACACTCCCTCCCGCCCGACGCTGGGCGAGAGAAGTCATTTGATGACGTTCCCTCACAAAAAAAAACCTGCCAAGAGCGTATCGGGCTACGCTCAGTGTAGGATTCAATAATACGGCAAACATTGTTTTGCCATAAAAATAAGGGTTGATCGTAGAAGGGTGAAAATGAGGATTGTAAGTATGTATCATATAAAAATAGAAATTAAAAATTGTGTCTAAAAAATAAAAAAATAGAGTTTGAGTACTCGTAACATTTAGGGGGATGAAAAACAGCCGGATAAGCAAAAAATATTCATCAAAATCGGGCAAGCCGTTTTCGGAGGAGTATGGCAACGAAAACTTACTAGAATTTTATGTATTATTAGATTAGACGTTCTGTCACAATAAGTGACTCATTGTAAATCTTTAAACTGCAATTCAGCAAGGCGTAAGTAGCAAAAGTACAGCGCCATCTCTTAGGGAATTTGGTAACTAATAAATACGGGTTGGCAATTTTTTTTTGTGAGGGGAAAATTATCAAATGACTTCTCCCGCCCAGCGTCGGGCGGGAGGGAGTGTCAGACTCTTACTGACTAAAACTCCCTCGTTCCTTTTCCTGCTCTGGGCCGTGCCGCGATTGCCCAGCAACCCTGGCTGGCTGTACAGGTTAGGGCAAAAGGGAGAGCTTTTTTTATGTAATTGGTCGGCAAAAGAGCAGACAGATTACCTGATGGTAAGCAATCAGCGCCGCCCATGGACACCCGCAACGGAGGAATTACGAGTGCGTTGCCGACCTTTTAGCTATTAGGGATTTGGAGATTTAGGAACTGGGGTGGGATTTGGGAAGGGGAAGGATTGGGCCTCCGGTAACCTCACTCACACGGCGAATTACACAGTGTTGTGTTTCGGTTGACAGACTCTTACTGACTAAAAATCCCCCCATTCCTTGTCCTGCTCTGGGCCGAGGTCGCGGTGCCTCATTGCGCTTACCCCGCAACCCCGGCTGGGGTTGGTAATTTTGGATCCCGTTAACCGATTTCAATAATAATAATTCTCTTTTTATTTGAAAGAAGATACGTTTAGAATAATAAAATATATAAACAAAGTTAAAAAAATGCATATAGGTACGGTTACATCACAAAATTAGCTCCGACATTTTTTGGACAATATTTCAAAAACTTTTCATATTATGGAGTTCAATATAATTATTTTCCTATAAATAATGTAGGCAAGTAGTTCTCTCCTTTCAAGATATATTCCGTATTTTCCTTAACCTTATGGTTTATAAGTTATAGGGAAGGGAGGGCGCCTTTTTAAACTTTTGGAGCGATTACTTCCGTTTAAAATAGGAACTTTATCAAGAAATAATCTTTGTAAACCTGTACCTATTGATTTTTAATACGTCTATCCAACAATAGTATATCACACGATAGAGTTGAAATGAAAAAAAATATCACTCCCTTCTTTACGTGTAAAATATTTTTTCCACTTCTTATTTTATCGCTTTGTCAACGTGATTGATATACATATTGGTGCCAAATTTTAGCTTTCTAGTGGTAACAGTCACTGACTCACTGAGATTATCCGCGGACGGACAGACAGACAGACATGGCGAAACCATAACTGTTCCTAGTGTACCACGGAACCTTAAAAACAAATCAGTTAGGTATTCAAGTTCTATCGTTAATTTTAAATGGTTCGAAGTTCACTGGGTTCACCTTCATACGTATTTTTCAATAGAATATACTTCAATTCAATACTTATTTCAAAATGTTTAAAAAAGGACATAGGTGCTTACTTACATAATATCCTTACGCCTATCTCTCATTGGGCTACACAGAGACTGAGAGATGCCACTTCATCTTCTCTTTAAGAACGATCATCGGTTTTATAAAGTTTCTTAGTTCGCCAATATGAGTACTTAAGAACCAAGTAATTGGTCGATTTAATTTTTTGGTAGATCTGCGATATTATAATATAATGTGAAAGAGCCATGCTTCGGCACGAATGTCAGCTCGACTGGAGTTATACCACGGCCTCGCAAAAAACCGGTGTGAAACAACCACAGCGTTGTGTTTCGCCGTGTGAGTGAGGTTACCTAATTTTTCCTCGTCCGTAATCTCTCTCCCATACCTCAATCTCCAAATCCCAATTTCCAAAAGAACGCCAACGAACTTGTAGGAATTACGAGTGTGGGTATGGTGGCGTTGATTGTTTACCACCAGGTAATCCGTCTGCTCTTTTGGCAACCTATGACCTAAAAAAGGTAAATAGGTAATTGGTAAGTTATACTTACATTTACTAGAAGAAAGGTGCTTTTCATAAGGGGCATGAGCATGTGCCGGTATATCTCCAAGCTCTACGACCCACGTTACTGTTCGAAGGCCCAACACGGGCGACGGTGGCGCCATCTCATGTCTCTCACTGGCACTAATTCACATTCCACCACTCGCGCGCTTGCGTCGTATCGTCGTCAACAGTCGATAAAATATGCACCTATCCAATCCAATCCAAGTATTCCATGATTTGACAGATCTAAGATTTACACAAATGATGGCTTGTTACAAGTTTACAACACAAGCTCTGCCTAGTGCCAAAGGTATTGATAATATTAATAGTTGTTACAGTTGCCCACTGCACTACTTTTTGTAAGAACTCACAAGTGAATTATTATCTACATTACTGATATTCACATTACCGATTTTTGCAATGACCTACAGTTGAAGATTATGTTAAGGCTTATCAAAAAGAAGGCAAGTTATCAGGCGGCCGTCGCGTGGGTACGAACAATCATAATTATATTCGATTGACATTTGTCACTTGTAAATGTAATAGTTAATAAATCATATTTTATTTTTTAATTTTACAAGTATGTAGGTATTACTTATAATTAATTAATGACTCGTCATGGTAGGTGAGGGCCCCTCTTTGAGGAGTGGCTTCCGTTTGACGCAGGTGCTTACCAGGAACGGGCATTCGGTAGGTTCCTATTTCGGATCCAGCGGGAGGCTCACAGAATACCGGCGTGAAACAACCCACAGCGTTGTATTTCGCCGTGTGAGTGAGGTTACCGGAGGCCCAATCCCTCCCCTTCCCCTATCCCATCCTAATCCTTATATCCGCAACCCCTATCCCCAAAAGGCCGGCAACGCACTCGTAACTCCTTTGGTGTTGCGGGTGTCCATGGGCGGTGCCGATTGCTTACCATCAGGTAGTCCGTCCGCTCGTTTGCCGACTTATACCATAAAAAAAAGTCCGAGTGTGGTCATTGTGAGGAGTGAGGACCACCTAGAGGACAGGGTTGAACATACTTGTGCCCTGCTTGGACTGAGTAGGTACCGCCTTGTCCTCAAGGAAGTGATTGGCAGCGGCAACCTTAGTCGAGGAAGCAGTTATGTTCGCGAATAAAGAAGCGGACCACGTAAGGCTCGTAGCCCGACCAGAACAGAACCAGACTCGAGCGTACGGCCTGTAGCGTTTCGCGCGCGTCTCAAAGAGCTAATAACCAACACAGACGGCGCTCCGTAGGGCTGATGTTCAGCCGGGGTTGCGGGACAAGCGCAATGAGGCACCGCGGCCGCAGCCCTGAGCAGGAGAAGGAACTTGGTAATTTTAGTCAGTAAGATTCTGATACTCCACCCGCTCGACCCTGGGTGGGAGAAGTCATTTGAAGACTCCACTCACAAAAAGGAGGCAGGAGGGTACTAGAGTAGCTAACTACTACAATGCGTGCTCCACAAATTGTTATTGTTATACATTTGGGTGTGATGTGTATGTGAATTAGTGCGTTTGTTACAAATTCACGACACCGGAGAAAATCCTAGTGAAGGGCAACGTTTTTTTACTAACTTTTAATGTTCACTTATGAGTAATTATGAGACAGAGATGGGCAGGTCATTGTCATTCTTGGACATTTAAATAACCGCGAGATTAGATGGGTCCTTATCGCACCGTGTATACCGAAAGCAAACTGACACTGATCGGTACCTACATGCAAAGTCATATCACCACCCCCGACACTTACAATCCGTGATGACATCACTAAAGAACAGAGCATATAACCTCTGTTGTAGCATAGGGGATGGGCGACTATTGCGACCTCTGAAGAGGGCCCGACATCCAAACTTGAGCAGACAACCTGCCTTCATGCCGTATATTAAGGGTGTTACAGACAAGATCGGAACCGTCCTTAGAAAAAAAATTCGATCCCGACGGTCTACACACCTGAGGGCAAAGTTCATGATAAGATGGGATAGTACAGTGAAGGATGTACTGCCGCTCCAAAGCCCAAGTTGTTTATAAGATCAACTGCAGCTGCGGTAGTTCCTACACTGGGCAAATGAAACGGACCATTGCTGGGAGGCTCAAAGAACATGTAGGTAGCCGCAGTCAAGAACCGACAGAGCCACAGATCAGCGATAGCAGAACACCTGCCCCAGGCTAGTTCAAATCATTGGATAGAATTCCACCGACCGCAATTCTCGTCTTCTCGCCACTACCATACAAGAATTGAGCGTGAAGCACGCGTGAAATAAAGAAATGCCCAAATAATTTCAATCGGGAGGACGGCTTAAATTGTCGTCGACGTGGAAAGCAGTGATTCGGAAAACACAACCTGGCTTTCCTTCAAAGTCGGTTAACACATCTGTGGATACGGTCAGCGTAGTGTGTAGACGGCCTAATGTGACACATATACTTACTACTGATTCTCAAAAATGGAAAGTGAAAACGCACACGCCACCACTGCCACTTTAGATGGCTAGTCTTCTTGGTTTGACGATTTTATTATTCTAAGTCGCGCAAAGAATTCGTCATTATCCATCATATATCCATTACATAGTCTAAATCTTACATAAATTTGAGAATTCATAGTTACTTGGAAACGACCAATAAAGAGTACCTAGGTACTACCGTTTAACAGATAGTTAGCTTACGTATAGCTGAATAATATCCAGATTATTCTGTTTACTCTCTATATTCCTTAGTTCCTAGTGTGTTTGTTCACAAAATTGTCGTTTACCTAAATATTATAATGTTCGTCATAACTTGTAGTTTGGCAAATAGGTTTCAACTACAACTCGTGCTGCCTTCGAGTGGAAGTGCGCGGCCCAAGTTCATGGAGCTCGACACCGCGACATCGGCGGGATGCAGTATGCAGAGCAGCCAAGGTGAGCCACATACTGGTCCTAAAAATAACCGAGGCACCCACTGCGAGCAAATAAACCGCTGCGCTGCCACGCCGCAGCCTACAGCTGCGAGCGGTACATACAACCTTCACTGTCGCGAGTGGTCCGCGAGTTCCACAACGTATTGTCTATACGGTGGCGTGGGTGTACCCGTGCTATCAACTATGGCTCAAATATTGTCTAGATATTGAAGTAAACTAGTTGCTTATTAAACAAATTTAAATGTGGGAGAGCCAAGCTTCGGCACGAATGGGACGGCTCGACCGGATTGATACCACGGCCTCACAGAATACCGGCGTGAAACAACCCAGCGTTGTGTTTCGCCGTGTGAGTGAGGTTACCGGAGGCCCAAACCCTCCCCTTCCCCTATCCCTTCTCGGTCCTTTTATCCGCAACCCATATCCCCAAAAGGCCGGCGACGCACTCGTAACTCATTTGGTGTTACGGGTGTCCATGGACGGCGCCGATTGCTTGCCATCAGGTAATCCGTCTGCTCGTTTGCCGACTTATACCATAAAAAAAACACAACAAAATGTGCATGGGACATTTTGTTGTGTAACACCCAAAATCTCTCCAATCCAAGTAGGTTTTGGGGGATAAGGTTTGAGCCTCCGTTAACCTCACTTACACCATAGTTTACACGGTGTAACACAACGTCAATGCTGTTTCACGTCTAATATTCTACAGAACAGATTATTGGACGTGATCCACTCCGATCAAGCTGGCTCTCTCGCACATGAATATTATCAAACTATTCTGTTTGGGGTCACAGGTAATAAACATCGTACTGGAATGTCATCCTTACGTCGTCTCGCTCGACTCCAACTAGGCGACAATACGCCGCGCTAACGGCTCACCAGCCGCTTGTTTTAATCCGAACCGTTAGGGCACCAAAATTTAAACCAATAAGCTTTTAGCTACTTTTAAAGTTTAACAACGCACGTTACAAGATTTATATTGTTTTTTTTTTAATAATTACATATATTGTAATGTAGACGAATGCCACTAACAAGTAAGTTTTTAAACATTTATAATAGTGTTACGTGCCTGACGTCACGTTCCTGACGATGCGGGCTTGGGTAACGGGATTGGATGAAATTAAACACTTATACAGGTTTTCAGACCTTCTATTGAACTTGACTTAAAAGTGCCAGCGTCCACGGAGTTAGGTTATCGGCGTTCCTCTCCAGCAGAGTCCGGGCGACTGACACAAACTTCCGTTTGCCGCTCACTGTTCACGCTGACTTAACTCACTAAACTCACTGCACTTCACTATTCACTGCACTTCACTATTTCACTCACTTTTCTTCTTTTTCTCTTCTTCCTTTTCTTATGAATTGCTTTGGACTCAAAACTCAACTGCCAGCGGTGAGTCGCAGTTCCGCTTATATACCCCCGGTCCGGTTTTTCGATCGTCATGACTCCAGAACCTTCTAATAATTTCGTTATTCATTTTTATTCTCCTTCTCGCTCTTTAATTTTCCATTTCTTTCACCCAAAAACTTGGAGAAAGTTCAACGAAAATTTCCATCAACTAAAACCTTCATGCTTACGGCGGGACTCGAACTCGGGGTCTCGCTGGTATAATCCACACGCCTTACCGATTACACCAATTCATGTTGACGATTTATGACGAAATTTACAATGTCTAGGCAACGTTTGACAACCATCCATAGTCGTCATGATGTCAATGAAGTTGACAAAAGAGTTTGAACCTCTTTTCCGTCATAATAGTAAGTCTGCAAGGCAATCCGAATAATCCGCGGATATCGCACGATCTCCGAGGAGGTGGCGAACCTCCTTGCCGGATCACCGCCGTCGGATCTGGAAGCAAAGGCGCTCGCGCGCGTCTACAGTTTGCACGCAGACGCGCGTCGCCGGGGCGAGGATCCTCTGCCGCGCCAAATAAGTGCGTGGCGGAATGAGCTCCGGCGAGATCTCATGGCAGAGAGGAAACAAGGACTATCGCAACCGAGGGCCGGGCACGCTATTATAGCAGCGGTAAGACCCCTCTTTGAGGAGTGGCTTGAGAGACGCCACGGCGTCCTCACCTTCCGCCTGACGCAGGTGCTTACCGGGAACGACAGCTTCGGTAGGTTCCTGTTTCGGATCCAGCGGAAGGAAACGCCCGAGTGTCGTCATTGTGAGGATGGTCCTCACAATGACGACACAGGCGAAAACCATAGTTTAAGACCCCGTTTCCTAGAATCCTCTAGGAAACGGTGGAGCATACGGTGGCGGTATTCCCTGCCTGGGCTGAGCACCGCCGTGTCCTCAGGGAAGTGATCGGCGGCGGCGACCTCTCGCGCCCGCCCTTAATCGAGGCCATGGTTCATAGCGAGAGGAACTGGGAAGCTATCTCCTCCTTCTGCGAAGCAGTTATGCTCGCAAAGAAGGAGGCGGAGCGCGCGAGGGAACTATCCTCCTCGCGCCCCAGCCGCCGCAGAAAGCGACATTCCGGGCGTCGGGGATCGAGAGATGATCTCGTAAGCGCGCGGCGAGTAAGGGTAACTCGCCGCCCGACCAGAACCAGACCCGAGCGCACGGTGCGTAGTGTTCCGCGCGCGCCTCAAAGAGCCAATAGACCACCACAGACGGGGCCCCATAGGGCTGATGTTCAGCCGGGGTGGCGGGGAAGCACAATGAGGCACCACGACCTCGGCCCAGAGCAGGAGAAGGAACAGGGGGGTTTTTAGTCAGGAAGAGTCTGACAGTGCCTCCCGCCCGACCCTGGGCAGGAGAAGTCATTTGATGATTTTCCCCTCACAAAAAAAAGTCTGCAAGGCAACTTGTGGCGAGCTGTTGGGCAGTGGCGACCCCACGGACTACCGGGAGGTGTTTTGTTACAAAGTCAAAGTCAAAATAATTTATTCCAACTGAACCATAAATAGGTACTTTTGAAATGTCAAAATTCTTCATCACCGGTTAGTCCTCGTGACCAACTGGAGTGAAATTACTAGGTACATTCTTGCCTTAATTGGCTGGCTTGAGTAGAGATTCACCAGAGCAGGAGTTAAAGGAGACTCGGGGGAAGGATGTTTCTCAGTAAGATACTGGTAAGGGTCTTGACGAGATTGCTCTAATAGCTGTGAGGTACCTTTTTTTTGTATCGGGATGGAAAATCCGCATGGAGACCCATCGTCCATCGGGTAAGGGTACTGACTGTCGTAACCCCCGACGAGTATTTGCCCGCCAGATGGTTAGGCGGGCCCCGTCAGCCGTCACCCACTGCGGCCGTCACGCGAACGCGGCGCGCGCGGAACACGACGCCGCCGCCTCGAAGCCTGCTGCTGCTCGGATGACAGGACGCCCCGAGTCTGTCGTCCGCAGCCCGCGCCCTACGGTGACCGCAGGTCGGCCACCCTACGACGTCTAGTGCGTCTGCTGCGGGAGGGGAGAGAGGAGGCAGCCTCTCTCTCTCCCTTTCCGCCGCCTCCTTTGCGAGCATCACGGCCTCGCAGAAGGTAGCGACGGCACTCCACCCTGACTCGCTCCCGACCATAGTACTACAGCCGGAAAAGCGAGACATTTCCCGCAGCACCTACGGCTGCGACCAGGTCACGGCGCTGTTCGGCCCAAGCTGGGCATTCTGCGAACGTATGCTACGCCGTATCGTCTCGCGGCAATCACCACAATGGTGGCACTGAGACGTCGGCTCCCGACCTATACGACACAGGTACTTCCCGAAACACCCGTGTCCGGTAAGCACCTGCTTCAGCCGGAAACTGAGGGCGCCGTGGCTCCTATTGAGCCACTCCTCTAGAACGGCCGTCATGTTGTAGTCCGTAGCAAACCATAGTTTTACCACATTTCACAATAGTCCAGCGTCAACCGATGGTTGTCCTTGGCTGCATTAAAGGATAATTGACAGATGAAGTGATATCGCTTTCAAATTAAAATTGTTCAACGGGCCCCTGCGAGCTGCCTTCCTCCCTTCATATACGCCTTCTAAAGGTTCTTGTGGTCCCGTCAAAGGAAAAGAACTAACATACCTAATGATAAAGTCAAACCTGTAACTTAATGTTACCTAGTTACGCAGCATTTAAGATAGTGCTCAATATATTTTTGTTGAAGCATTGTTACTGTATTAAGTTTATTGTTACATTTATTTTTTTGATTATATTCTTGGCTAAAAATATAGTTTCGTAAGGAAAATGATCAGGAACTCCAAGTTTTTAAACGGTTTTATTGAATTGATTTGTAGATTCCAAATGAAAAGATACCTACAGAAACTTCCTTATGACAATATACGCCCTGTGTTATACAGGTGGGTGGAGCAAAGCATCAAAGATTCCATAAAATCAAAGATATTGAAACTTCCTTTGCGGACATTAGGATTTTACGAATGCGTGCCAATAATTAAACTTAGAATGTGTTCCGTGGAGATTGTAAACTTCTTTACCTACATTAGACTTAACATTTTACTACTTTAAAACAAGGTGACCCCTAACAAATACCACCAGAGAGCGTCAAAAAACTCCTCATCGTAACAATTATTCAATATGGGAAATGGAAGTTTTATGTGATAAGACGGCAAACGAGTATTCGGATTACCTGATGGTAAGCAATCAGCGCCGCCCATGGACACCCGCACGGAGGAGTTACGAGTGGGTTGGGGTGCCCCGATTGAAAGGTTTGGGTCTCCGGTAACTCGTGGAACACGACGAAACCTGCTGAAGCATGACTCTCTACACATGAAAGATTAATAATGCGATCCCATGCAAATAGGGCAAATACAAGGTTGTGTTGAGAGTTTATTTTTTTCTTCGATAGGTACGTCAACGGCAGTAAGAAGTTGATGAAACGTTGGAGACGCTCTCGTTTAGAGTCCTATTAACGTGCTATATCAACATCGTAACATTTAAGTAGATGGAATGTTTATTTTGATGAGAACAAGTGGCCCGCGCAATGGTCGCTACAACTGATTCACAGGGCACAGGTTAACATTTACAAAGTTCACTATTAATACACCGCGCACGCGCACCGCGCCTCGAGCGAGCGGACGCAACGCTACCAAGACACATCACACGTGCCGTCCCGCCAAATGTCCACTATTCAACAATATCTAGAGAATCAGCACTAAGTAAATTAATATGAACATTCACATTCACGTGACAAATCCCACCGGAGGCTGTGCTATAAATCGGGCACGCTGTTGTAGCAGCGGTAAAACCCTCTTTGAAGAGTGGCTTGAGCTTGAGAGACGCCATGGCGCCCTCAATTTCCGCTTGGCGCAGGTGGGCACGGCAGCTTCGGTAGGTACCTTAAATAGCTTATAGACCACTACGCATTAAGGTACCATACCACGGCCTCGGCCTAAAGCAGGAGATGGAACGGAGGGGTTTTAGTCAGTCAGAGTTTGACACTCCCTCTCGCCGCACCCTGGGCGAAAGAAGTCATTTGATAATTTTCCCCTCATAGAAAAAATCAGATGCGGGCAACGGCAATCACTAGTTGTCCAACGTTTGGTGTCAATGTTCATCTACACTTCTACAGAGTTTGTTATCGTTTGCTAATGTCGGTTGTGGCGTTCGTTGACGAGGTACGTTACTACTACAGCACTAGAGCAGTCTGTCTGATCAAACTTCACTCCAAGTGGCGATGTAGCACACAGTTGTCAATTGTTTTTACGTAACGCATTTACGTCTTAGTAAACAGCCACGCGTATTGACGGCTTCCGAATGGACGATACCACTTATTGTAACTTTGCAAGCAAAACAGACGCTCGAATTGCTTACTTCCATCCAGCCGGGACCGGGGCTGCGAGTGCATGAGAAGGAACGGAGTGCTTTTATGTCAGTAAGAATCTGACACTCAAGCTGTAAGAATAAGTAACGTTTGTATTTGTTCAGAAACAAGTTTTTGAGTAATTTTAATTTTTTTTTCTTTTACAAGTGAAAACACGTTGTTAACAGACTGACGTCACAAATTCATAAATAAAACAAAATAAACTTTTACTGGTAAGTTAAGGATTTCATTAAAACCGAAATAAACATTTGTTTCAGTTTTTTTAGTTAGCTATGTTTAATCGATAGTTGAACCGTTTGGGATGCAATTATGAAGTGTCTCAGGAGGACCACTCCATTAAATGGACATACATATGGATATAAATACAATATATGCCTATAAAATACATAAATTAGTCTAAAATTAATATATGATGTGAAGTTATTTAGATTGAAAATAAATTAAATCGTGTTCATCGGAGACCGCTCATTGGCCTACATTGAGAAGGAAAGCGGAATAAATAAACAGATCACTCGCACAGATTGTGATGTATTGTTGCACAGTTATTGATTTGAGAGAGCCAGCGCGCGGCTCGCGGCGCGTCGCTGTGCGCGTGCGCGGGCGCGCGTGCTCGCGGTCTCTGGCGCCGCTCGCGACTGCCACGCGCCGCCGCCGCGCGCCTTATCTGTAGCTCACTGCAGCTTCTCCGCCTTCCGTACCACCGCACGTCCTACTCAGCACAATAATGTTTTCTTCCTGAGCAGGACACATGTGCACCGCTTTATTATCATACAAAACTAAGAAATAACGTGAACAATTGATAGTACACATACAGTGGCTCGGTGACCAGATGCTGTGCAACTTCCCATGGGTTCGATTACTTCGAAAGGGAAAGGTTATTAAATTTTTAGTCTTGCCTTTAGAAAAAAAATGCAATTCAATTAATTTTATTGTGTTCTCATGCATATGTCCGCATAAAACTTAGGTACTTAATTCAGTAATCAATGACAATTCAACTTAACGCTTGTTGTTGTTATAACACGAAATGTAACAATAGATGGCGCTACGTAAATAGATTTCCAAATTTGAAATATACCATGTATGTATGTATACCTTATGTATTGCAGAATACTGCGGCTACCGTAGGTTCGAATCTCGCTTTTTTATTTTTTATGGTTTATTGATTTGATTGCTTATTTTCTCTGTTTTAATGTGACGCACTAGTTCCATTAGAATTATAAGTGAGAGTTGTAAGTGATTACTAACATTAGTAGTGAAACAGCGGTAACTCGCGGCTAACTCTGATAATATTGGTGACGTTACGGCCTGGACCTGAAACATGTCACTCCTTTGTTCCGTCGCGTGTCGTGTAAACGCTACCCTGCCACATCTTGCTGACAGGAAGGTTAAGGCGCCAGCTTCTCGAATCAAATCATTATATTAATCAGATTTTAGGTAAATTGTTATCTTATTATTGAGTTAGTAGGTACCGCCAAAATAAAAACGTTATAATAAAATGTCAGTAAGTTAACTTCCTCCTACTTAAATAATTTAAACAAAGAGTATGTAACCACTACGTTTGAATTTAAATAACATGTCAAGTAAACCATTCTATTCTATGAGTATAATTCAATAACAGGTATCTACGTGAGTAGTTAGTACATTCGACAATGCAACACTGCAATAGTACTAAACCTCCGGAAAGCATTACTCACTTTATACATGTCCTACAAATTGGAAGTCATTTATATTATAATAACATGTCTTGAATGCTTTTAATTTGTTTTTAAATACGGTCTGCAAACATTGAAATGTTTTATAATGTTCTGGATTTTATTGTATATTTTGTTTGGGCGCCATATATAAAAGCACCCAGGCTTTGCCACAATGCCACAGCAGCCTATCTATTATTGTTTATATGTATTTGACACACACATGTGTTACCTATGGACATCTCCTTATGTATCTACATACCTTGGCCACAGTATAAACAAGACAACACACCGTCCGTTCGTCACTGCGGTACAGCCGCGTCTGTCTGCGTCCCGAGCGCGTCCCGACATCGGGCGCGTAGGTATAGTTCGCGTTTCGGCCGTTTCTATGAAGTTGAAATACTTGGTAATAATATCTACAAGTACGCGCTCGGGACGCAGACAGACGCGGCGTATATTACTATAATCTATGGACGCGGCTGTACCGCAGTGACGAACGGACGGTGTGTTGTCTTTTATTTAGAAATCAGCTCGAGTACATTATTTAATATGACGAATAGGAAATATTGTGCTGTTATTATGTTTGGTTGCATGAATTCGTCAATAACGCATCCAGACATAAGTTTTTTTTAAATTACCTGGAAACTCTGAACGGTAAGACTATAAAATAATTTTACTTACTAGTAGCCTAGGTAGGTACATAATGTGTGTCTTTATGGATCATTATTTCCAGTTATCTCACGAAAACAGAATATGTTTGAATTTATAAATAATATGAATAAAGTTATTGAGACGAGTGAAATAGGTAGTTATAGGCGGTTCTGGTTCTGAATGAATCATGATACGTTAGGTACCTACCCACTTACGCTTGTGGTAAAACGGTTCATGTATGTTTTGTTAGTTTGTATAATTCAAAGTAGAGAGTATGGTATTTTATTATTAATAATATTTGTTTATTATCTGCATTTATGAATAATACTAGAAAATATTTAATAACAACAATAAAACAGCTAGACTCGTGTAATATTTTGATGTTTGAGGGTTGTGATTTTAGAACATTCGTAGTCAGCTGTTCAGTTCGGCATTAGTGGCCAAAGAAATTTTGTTTGTTTATTTTTAAAGCACTTTATTTGTTTATATAAAAAAAAGGATATTTACAATCACAAAACTAAATGGAAACAGAAAGTAGACAAAGGTAATTCAAATACTGGAGACGAGCAGCCCTAACGCATGTTTACGTACCGCGCGGCTGTAGGTATTTATTTCTTTCAAGCGGCCGAGTTACAATACCTTGGCACTCATAAGTAGTACCAATTCATGGCTTACAGTGAAGTGTTGCAAGTGTTACTCAATCGTGAATGATAGGCACTCCGGTATCAGCGGATGCCTGCCTATCTCCGTCTTGTAGTCGAGGCTTACTTGACGGACAGAAGCGTCATCTACCCCCGTCACTGGGGGATGCGGCGAGAGATGTCGCGCGGTGTCCCCCCACAGGGATCGGTCCTGGGACCTCTCCTGTGGAACATCGGGTATGATTGGGTACTACGCACCGACCTTCCGAGCGGCGTCAGCATAGTTTGGTACACTGACGACACGCTGGTGCTGGCGAACGGGAGGTCGCATCAGGCGGCGGCCGACCTGATGTCACAAGCGGTTGCGAGAGTCGTTGCAAGGATCCGGCAGTTGGGACTCGAGGTGGCACTCTACAAGTCAATGGCCGTCGGAACGCGCCACCTCCAGATGGGTCCCAAATAATTGCAGGAGGAGTTACCATCGGCGTCGAGTCGGCGATGAAGTACCTAGTTCTCGTCCTCGATAGCCGGTGGAACTTCACGGAGCATTTTCGTCGTTTGGCTCCTAAGTTGGAACGGACTGGGGCCGCGCTCGAGCGGCTCCTTCCCAACCTCGGGTGCCAAACGCCTCCTGCCGGAGGTTGTATATGGGGATTGTGCGATCCAGTTCCCTCTACGGGGCCCCTGTGTGGGCGCCGGCCAGCTCGTACGCCGATCGCGTCCCAGAGGGTCATGGTATCTTATAACCTGCCCAGGGCTATAAAGAATAATTATACCAAATTTTGTTAAAATCTGTCGAGTGGTTTTTGTTTCTATAAGGAACATACAGACAGACAGATAAAAAATTTAGCGATTGCATTTTCGGCATCGGTATCGAGGTATATTTTGAAAATATATTTAATGTACAGATTTGAACCCTCTACTGCCAATATTTTATGGTTGCTCAATATATAAAGAAAAATATGATATCGACAACAGTAGACAAAGTATATGTAGTATAGGTGTCATTTGTTACTGCAGATTAAGCTTTTTCACCAACCATCTATACATTGTGGGCCCCACTGGAGCTTAGTGTCTGGGGTTATAACTAAAAAGGCAGTTGTATCTACAGGACTCAACTCCTCGCCCTTGACAAACACGCAGGGTTAAATGAATACAAGTAGTTTTGATTTCATTTAGTAATATAAGTTTTTAGCACCAAACCAGTAAACTATATCTGAAAAAGCACTGTTTACATTGTCAATACCTGATCGTCGCGCTGTTGAGTTTGAATAATAGTGAAGTTATAAAATATATAAACATAAACCTATTAGGTATGATAAAATATATGAAAGCTATGGTGAAATACATTAATTGTGGTTATAAGTTTTAGGTAAGGATAACATGTAATTACGTTAGCGACCGCTGGCAGGAGGTTTTAAAAAAAGGCGATTTTGTCGTGTTTGCCGCGCTAAGAATCCATAATTAGGCAGTCGGTTTTTGAGTTCTTTCAATGTGTTGCTGTAAGTTTTCCGAAAAATTCTCTTTTTATTTTATTTTAATCCAATGCTATCAATGCGTAAGTACCTCTGTCTATCTGTCTGTCTCTCTATCACACATAAACTACTGAACCGATTTGGATAAAATTTAGTACAGACATAGTTTGAAACTCGAGAAAGGACACAGGATAGTTTTTATCACGGGAATTCAAAAGGAGAACTTCCCGAAAATCCTATAAGATCGGGAACTATGTGGGTAAAACCAAAAATCTGCCAGAACTCACTGTTCCACGTGGACGAAGTCGCTGGCAGAAGCTAGTTCCACATAAATTCCTTCTCAGTGTGAAAAGGCCTTATGGCTAGAAATGTGAAAGTTATAAGCTAATGTTGATGAAATGCACCCACAGCTCAGGAGATAATCCTAAAGTGGGACACGATGAGATAAAAAACAAATGTACCAGGTACCCACCAACTCTTGTGCGTTTGAACCGTGGACATAATGGCCAGGAAGAGAAAATAAAATGTTTTGTTTAACCCCAGAGAACAGCTACACTGTGGCAAAAACATAGTGGGAAGCTTCCATGTACCGGGAGTCGGGAGACACAGACAGCGCGCCAGGCTCGGGGCGCGGGAACTGGGTGACGGGGACGTCGCTGCCCGGCACCTCGCCTGCCGCGTGCCGCGCCGCGCCCCAGGGCCGGACTCGCTGTCGCCCTCCACTGTGGATGCAGTGCATCTGCCACGCACGCAATGTACCGTATGTAGCCCTGACTGATGGAAACTTTATTTACACGACGCAACGCAAAGCGACGCGACACGGCCTGCGAGGGACGCGCAAGGTGCGGCCACACTGCCGCGTTTTATATTCTCTTGCCGTCCTCAACAATACTAAGTGTGGGAGAGCCATGCCGCAGCACCAATGGGTCGGCTCGACCGGAATGATACCACGGCCTCACAGAACACGGGCGTGAAACAACCATGGCGTCCTTGTGTTTCGCCGTGTGAGTGAGGTTACCGGATGCCCAATCCCTCTTCCTCTCCCCATCCTTTCGCAATTCTTAAATATCCGAAACCCTTTTCTCCTAAAAGGCCGGCAACGTGCTCGTAACTCCTTTAGTGTGTCCATGGGCGGCGCCGATTGCTTCCTCGTTTGCCGACCTATACCCAACCTATACCATAATAAAACTACCTTGACTATACAACACAAAGTTTAGGATAAGATACGTTTTTTTTGTCATAGACACCCGTGGCCCGTGTTACATACAAATTGAGTAAGAGATCTTATAAAATCAGAAGGTGTTTCATCCAGTGAGGAGACACATGTTTTACCTGAACATAATAATAATTCTTCGATTTCAATTTGCAACAATCGTTCCGAACATTTGTGTTACAATAAAGAAACAACAACTAAATCTTCAGCTTTGATTTTCATTCGTCTTGGGCATCATCGTCACCTGAGTTGTTGGAGTGAACAATGAGGTCGTGTCGCTCCCTCCCTGGCAGGCGGCGGCCGCGTGCGGCGCGTGCCAGCCACGGCGCGGCAGTGTGGCCGCACCTTGCGCGTCTCTCGCCCGCGTCGTGTCGCGTCCTGTTGCGTCGCGTTGCATCGTGTTGCGTCGTGTTGAGTCGTGTGGTGTCGTACAGTGTTCTGCAGCGCCTGTGTTGTGTGCCGACATGTGCCCGCTCTCGGCGCCGCGCCTTATGTCGTGTGGAGTGCTCACTTAAAGTCTGGATTAAAATGAATGGCGGAAGATCAGACGCGTCAACTTCGACCGATGATGTGAAGGTAACGCAATCGCCATTGCAGTGCCAGGTAGACAACTTGAAATAAATAAGTGGGCTATTTGAACATGACGCCAAAAAAAGTCAATAATCATTTATTCCAATTAGACCCCTACGGACACTTTTGAACGTCAAACAAAATTTTGAAGATATAGTGTCAGTCGGTCGGTCAGTCCTCTTAGTGAAGCTATTTGCTCGTTCCAAAGTGTAGATTCCGATGGAGAAGAACGAGCAAGAAACTCCATGGTTACTCTTTTTAAATCAGTTTCACATACATATTCTTTATACAAACACTTGGTTCATTATGTGAGAACAGTGTAACACTAATATTTATTCAGAGAAATATAAAAAGAAAATAACCTTAAGGACATTAGAAAACAAGGCCGGAGCTGATCAGTCCCAACTGAAGGCGCCCGTTAACGATCATGACACGTACCTACACCAGCATCGCCCAACTCAACCATATTATAAGGAATTAAGCGAATTCGCCATCCATGCCATCGCCAGTGTGGCCTTTGACTAAACATGACAACTCCAAGCTGATATAAGGGCCGACATTCTGCAAGTCTAACCAATTGTAATAGGTAACGCCATGGCCTAGCTTCACTGACGGACAGACAGACAAACTTATATTCTATTTTGACGTTTCAAAAGTTACTAAGTTTATAGGTTTAGTTGGAATAAATAATGTTGAGTTTGACTTTGGCGTCGGTTGTTCCCATCAGAATCATATATAATCATAGAAAATAGGGGCAATTAATATTGCTTCCGGCATTAAACTCTTTTTGAAAATAATATGAACATAAAGAACCAGCTTTTTAAGCCTTGATTATGTATTTTTAAGTATTGATATATTAAAATGGGTTGTGGTAGCTTCCATTTTGGACTCTACAGTAGTTAGTACGGTAGCGATACCGTGTAAACATTTCTGATTTCCCAATTTTTTTCATGAGGTAATCTAATTCTCTCTACAATTTTGCTACTTTTATAATCGCTTGCTTTTCCAATTTGGTAAAAGAGAACCCGGTATTCCTTACATACAGGTACTGGCTGGCTGATGGCTTAGTGACATACAATCCCAAGTCTTCTTTGTTAATTCATTTTTTGTGATTTCAAGCGATCGTTTGCGTAGGCCTATGGTGGCTGATATAATGGCGATGATGAACTAAGTAAAGTGAACTGTCTTTGTGTTCTCAGAATCGCCCACTGTGCCTGTTCTACTTCACGCACCCATTCGGCGTACTGTCACCCGAGCCGCCCACGCTGTGCGCCGCGCCTCCGCACGTGGCCCGCGCCTTCCTCAACATGCAGCCTGTGCCACCCGCCACGCTGTGGGGCCCGGCGCACCCCGCGCCGGCCTCGCAGCCCTCCGAGGACGACTACAACACTGCCAGCTCCGTGTCGCGGCCCAGCTACGAGCTCGGCAACGCCACCGTGCACCGCACGCCGCTCAGCCTGGTCAGCGTAGCGCGCGCGCGCCACTGCACGCTCGACTTCGCGGACTCGCGCGACTCCATCCCCTCGTCCCTGTTCTCGGGCGACGTGTGGTACAACTCCAGCTCCAGCCGCAGCAACGACTACCCGCGCCGGTTGGTCCCTTACAACAAGATCCTGCCGCCGCTGCAGCTGCCCAGCCCCAAAGACTCTTGCAATCTGTCCAGTTCCGATGACTTTTGGCCAAAAAAGTGCTTAAACCCGGAGAAATTTTCGCTACCACCTATTGAAATGCCCTCAGTGAAAGTGAACGTACTGCGAAGTAAAAAGTGCAGTGTGATGTCAGAGGAGACGTCGAGTGCGGAGAGCGCGGGGGTGCGCAGGAGTCGGTCGCGGCGGCGCGTCGGCGTCAGCAAGGCGCGGGCCCGGCGCACGCGCCCCGCCGACCTGCGCCGCCTGCTGGCCGCGCTGCTGCGCCGCGCGCTTACAGGTACGTGGGCCTTGGGACTCGGACCACCACGACAATCTGCCGTCTTACGGTATTCGAAAACTGCCTACCTGCTTAAGATCAATTGACTGTTTTAACGTATCCCACTCTACACTGTTTTACCTAAATCTGTGTTGCAACATGTGTATTCTAACAATTAATCCTGCGTCATGCTGCAGCCGCTAGCCAGCGCGACTCACACATGTGTGCGTGCACGAGACGGTTTCGTCCTCTCCAAACACAAAAAGATTAAGAGCTGAGCACAGCACGAGTATTAGTCAGACTGTGACTACTTACTCGAAATAGATCCTGTCGGCCGGAGTGCAACTGGTGAATGTACTGCGAATAAAAAATCCATTCTTAAACAAGCTTTTCTCAGGTGGATCAAGAGCCGACACTTACACTGTTAAGTACAAGGTACGTAACAATTTAATAAATCTCCAGTAAAGTCATACAGTTTACTATCTATAATCCAGCAAACTAAGCATGTATACCTACAAAATGACATCTCAATTTGATGAAAATTAATTTACTTGCAACTGCAGGATACGTGACATACCTACATGTACATACATTGCGTGTTTAAAATAAGCTTTGTGATGAGGAGCGCAGTGCTGGTAGTGGGGGGAGGAGGGCGGCATACACTTACTTAGTCAGGAACGTTGTGCACCGTCCGGCTACATGTTGCCAAGTCACGTCGGGGTCTATAATCGGAGTATCACTATTGTATACTATTTTTCCAAGTTTAAGGACAATGCTTAAAATAAACTCAGGCTTGGCACAAACGGAATTATATATTTAACTAGCTAGCTACTCTCGCGCAGTTTCACCCGCTGCTCGGCTCCATTTAATCGTAACGTGATGTTTTATAGCCTATAGCTTTCAGGAATATTGTTAGCTATCTATCAGTGAAAGAATTTTGGAAAGCCGACCAGCGGTTCCAAAGATTATCCCCTACATTCAAACTTACAAATTTTACCTATTTGTAATATTATCTATAATACTAATATTATAAAGAGGTAGAATTTGTAATAAAAATCAATATCGCTATTCGTATTGCTTTGTTTTAAAGTGCGTAAAAATTACTGGACTCTGATATTTGGCATATTGACTAGGTACCTACTCATGTGCGCTTGTACAACGCGTCACATAGCGCTCTGTATAGGAGCGAGAGATCTCAGACATGTCGCTGCGTTTGTGTGCGACTCTAGTCAGAACATAACTAAAATCTTACCCATTTTAGGTACCCCTTCCCCCTCCATTCCATCTTCTGGCCCAGGCCGAGGCCGCGAATTATTGAATCAGTTCTCTGGGAATACGATGGTGCCCAGCCCAAGCAGGGCACACCGCTACCGTAATTTACCGTACATGCTCCACCGTGTCCTCCAAGTGCCGCTTAGTCCTGGAATTGAATTAACAGTATTGTTGTTTGTTTCGCAGTCAGCCACCAGTCTCAATGTAAGGGGTTTTTCTTTCGCATCTAGTGTATGCTAACTACGAATACCTCGAATACTTTCTTGTTTTGCCGCCATTTTGTGGGAATTTATAAGATATTTAAGGGGGGAAATCAATTTGCACCAAGCCTGGCTTTCTTTTTGTTATAGTTCAAGAGCGTTCTCTCTCCTATGTATATTTAATTAACTAACTAGGATTGGAATCCTCCAGTTAACAACATGTCTTTTCCACTTAGTAAATCAGCGTTTGGCCTGTAATCTCGCTTGTTGGTAAGGGGTGACGCGGCCGACGATGGAGCACGCATTACAAACATGTAGCTTCGACCCGGACCCCGAGCTAGCGGCTGCACTGCAGCCTGCAGCTCTGTTGTAGTCCAAGCCAGAGCACACACGTTGCGCTCCGATAGATTAAGCAATTAGAATGAGTGAATACCTTCACTGGGTGATTTTATCTTTTAAGATCTCGAAATAAATAATTTGTTTTATTCACTTTGCTCAGTTACTGCTAGACGCAGTCCGCGCACCACTCAAGAGGCGAATAAGAGCAGCAGAAATGATGTAGGTACTCCCAAGCATCTTGCAACTTGCAATACTGGGGCTTAGGTAGATATTACATGCAATGCAAGAAGAGGGGGTATTATGCGTGCGCAGCGCGCGGCACCGCGCCTCGGACAAAGGCGACCGGTCCCGCGAGTCGCTGCGCGTCTAGGGTTACGGAGCTGCTTGCTGTGGTTACCTAGTTACCATTGTATTTAGGTCACCTATTTCAATAATCATGCGTCAACATGACCTGACGGAGGCTTACCCACTCCTAACGCTAAGCACGCTCTGCTCTGCGCTCTACGACGCGGCTGATTTGTCTACGAATCGTTTTATGCGGTGCGGGTCCGTCTGCATATCTTTCCTGCGGGCCGGTATAAATAGCAGCATGATTTTAAGTTGAATTGTCTCGCTCTGATACTTTTCCAAAATTGACCAAGTTTCTTGTTTGGGTCAAGTTCTGCTATGATATCCATTTTTATCTGTTGTAGATTAATCTGACACCACTTTAAACACGCGCCTGGACTGGCCTGGAGTCACACGTATCACTAAAGACGATTAGTCCCGCGCTTATCCCCAAACAACCACGCCTGAAAACATAGCCGAGCCCTCACACCAGCGTGTCACGTGTGCCAGTGTCATTATAACTACATATACAAATGATCTCGTAAACAATAAAATGTTTGATTTTGATTCTGCAAATTGATTTAATCATTGACAACGGATTACGATTTATCGATCAGTTCATGGCGGGTTCGCAGACAGGGAGCAGGAGGAGGTCGGAGCCCGATTAGAACCGGACCTGCGCGTACGGCGCGTAGGTAGTGTTAAGAAAGAAAGCTATCAGGCAACCTCAGATGGGAACCACAAGGGCCGGCAATAATGGGCCTAATAGTTTACGCCCTTGGTTAACCACTACTTGAGTAAACAAGCTCACACACAGACACTAAGGCGCAGTCACAGGTCAAACCGGTGCACAGGGCTAGTGAGTCATTCATTGAGATGTCGGCGAGACAGGCGCGGGCGGGGTGCGCGGCGGGGGCGCGGGGCGCCGGTCAGCTCGCAGCAGTGCTACTCGGCCACCGTCGCGGGCCGCACGCCACGCGCCGCACGCTATACGCACACCGGTTAGAGCCCCATGGGCTGAACTGCGAAGAGCGTACACGCGCATACTCTGCTCTACCTACACAAAGAGACTGATTCGTGTTCAGCGAAATCCCATCTGGGAGAATAACACGAATCTGTTCGACATTATTTTGACTGACAGAAGAATACAAACGCCAGGACGTCACAAGCCCACGTTGATTTATAATTCAAATTTCAAGAATCAACCGCGGTCACTCAGCTCTTCTGTGCCGAATCACTGGACATCAGTTAAAGGCCGTAAAGGTCGCAGTGTGTCACCTGCCCCAGCTTCGGAGCCCCGAGTCACCTAGACTCTCGACTACGCTCAAGTTAGTAAACACCTCACGATTACTTCTTGCATCTTCTTCCGGCGCTGACATTAGGACGGTGGTTATCATCGTTGTTTTAAGGGTTTCCTCTAAACGCCTTGGCCTCGGCCTGGCCGCCCCCGCCCCCCGCACCCTGCCCCGCACTGCCGCACTCAGTGTTTACACCCCCGTCTCCTTGGCAGCGGGATGGACGCTTCTAGCTGAATCATAGGTCAGTGCACAGGTCGTGCTGTTGTAGTGGCCACTCTGCGCACCCTGTGGTGACGTGGTGTACGCAGGTAGCGTACACCACGTCACATGCGCCAGCTGACGATGATGTCGTGTCTGCGAAACATTTTAATCACACTTCGATAGCCCACTCGCTATCTGCAGTGTACAGTGGCTTCTTTAATTCGTAATGAACATATGCAGTAGATTATGTGGTTAATTTTTAACATGAAGGAATGTACTAAGTGTAGATGGTAAGACCGGTAAATAATTCGCACCTACTTAAAACATACAAGTACCTAAAGCTATTTGTAAAGTGTGTAAAAATAATCTTTCAAATTACATTCGATGATTTTATTTTTAGATAATTACTGAATAAAGAATAAAAGAATATTAAATTCTACTACACCGAAAAATATTTTACGGTTGCAACCCATTAGACAAGGACTCAATCCTATTTACGAGCATCTCGCTCAGCCCGTTTTTCCGTTTAACAAGATGGTTAAAGATAAGCGACTTAATTGAAATGGATGTAAAATTCATTTCACGTTGACAAGAATTTCATAGTGCACAATCTTGTTGTCTACATAAGATCTTTGACTAATTCATACTTAGTTGGTACCAGTTGGTACCTACTCGTGAGTCGTGACGGCTCACGGTTTCGTAAAAGATTTTTGTGTATGGAACGCGGCATAGTAGGGTAGCCCATGAAGGGATTTTGGTTGTTGCTCGAGCGCGACAGATTAACATATAGGGAATACTTAGTATCCTGTTGAATATACCCATCATATGTATACTTAATGTAAATAGAGGAGGGATAACAATATCAAAAAATAACTACACATATACAGTTTTCGGGTACTTTAATAAAACTGTAAATGTAGGTATTTTAATCTTCAATATTCAAATACGTACCCTCGTTTTCATCAGATTAAGGGTAGATCTGTAGACTTCATGCTAAAGAAAGTGTGTTTAAAAAATGTGCCTACTTCATCGTGGTTTACAACGGTGGTAGAGTTTTGAACGGGCCCCGCTTTTATCCTCTTAATCGGTCAAACCCACCAGCCCACTATACAATGCGGCAGATGAAAATATTTAATTGTCAGGGATACATGGAGAACATATGTAATAACATTATTAAAATCTGTCACGCTTGTGCCTCAAAACAATAGTTACAGAATCAGAAAAATACAATTTTGTATAACTATCGATTCCCTCTTCCCCCACCGGAGGAATGAAATGTTATTAGGGCATTTTTTCTTTCCATCACTACATCAAATGGCATATTTTCGTTTCCTTCATTTATTCCGTGAAATGACGGAAGCATCGGTTTGCAAGTTGCAACGTTAAGCAGGTGTCGGTGCTGCGGTGGTTGTGGCAAGCTGAAGGGCTGTTGTAGTGTGCTTGTAGGCTTCTCCTTCGAATCAGTATTTGAGTAGGTAATTACAACTTGTTTTGAATTTAGAATTGTTTTTGGAATATGTCACGTTTGTATGTGTGTTATAGGCTCATTCCTTCGTAGCAGGGGTTCAGGCGTACGGCGGACTAACAATTATTTAAAATATTTTGCTTTAAAAGTGCTGAATCTTAATTAACAACCTAAGACATATTTTGATCGTCAAACAAAATCTTAAAGATATAAAGCAAGTATGATATTTTTACTGTGTATAAAGTGTCAGTCTGTCGGTCCGTCCTCTTAGTGCTATGCTATGTAGCTATAGCTATGTGCTCATTCCAAAGAGAAAGAGATTCCGCATGTATGGACATATTTTTTTTAACGTTTGGAGCGATTATTTCTGAAACATTTATATTATTATCAAAAAATATCCTGGTGAATGGATGAAATTTAAGATCACTCCCTAGTTTACGTGTACAGCCACGAGCTGTAACATAGAAAAGCCTTTAAAATTTTAATTCATATAACAACATTAAATCTCAAAAATAAGTACTTATGCTTAACTGTGGCCAAAAACTATGTAAACGTTAAATTATGTCAAAATTATCTACTTAACACACTTCAATCAAATTTTCCTCAACAATAGATTAGGTACCAAAAAATAATATTAACTTTCAGTTACGTAATTATGAACCCAATGAAATTTCAAAAACATGTTTACAGTACAGTTTGTACGTGTCCCCGGGTTGGGTTACTACATATTTTTACTTGTTTTTGATTTGAACAAATGGAGCGCTGCGTGCGCGGAATGATCCAACTTGAATAACAGTATATTATGGTCAACACAATGAATAGGTACAGGTATTCAGGCGAGTATACATAACTATTGGTAGGTAGTTGTGAGACTACCCAGTACTATAGTAATATAGTATATTGACGCTGACCCGACACGCGACTACACGCTACACGCGAGAGAGATGTTGATATCTTCGTTTGTGTCTGTACAGCATCGGCCATAAAATAGGATCGCGGTTTATTTCTTACGAGTCATCAAAGTATAGAGTCGGTGAGCAGTGAGCACATGCCGTAGTGTGTGGCGACGCCGCCGACCTCAGTGCTAGCGCGGCGCGAGGCCGGCCAGTGCGCGCGAGGCCGCCGCTGGGCCCGCGCCGCTCGTGACTCACTCCGCAGTCTCAGGCCGCGACCTGCTCCACACCCCTCCACCTGCTGCCGAATTATAGTGCTCGCCGGAAGCGGAAGGGCACCCGGAAATCGAATAGGCAGGTCGGACAGTCGCTCAGTGCTCGCTTGCCTGCGTTGACCCTGGAAATGAATTTGTTTACGTTCACTCGCAGCTTGTTGCCCGACTGCAGAGTTCCTCACGTGTCACACATCATACCCTGACTCGGAACAAAAATTCGTGAATTATATGAAGATTATGATCAGTGCCAGGAACGCCTCGCTTCACATGTGCGAGACAAGAAATTCCATAATAGGTACTTCCCCCTTAAAAAAAAAATCTTGTATGATTATCGGTAGGTATATTGAAAAAATCTGACAATGGCATATCGGGGTAGGGTTTATTTTGTCAGGGGAAATCATCAAATGACTTCTCACGCCCAGCGTGAGGCGAGTGGAAGTGTCAGTCACTTACTGACTGAGTATAACTGCTTCACAGAAAGAGGAGACAGCTTCTCAGTTCATCCTGCTTCCTTCTTTACGAGCAAGAAAAAATTTCAAATGACTTCTCTCAGTCATTTGATGATTTTCCCCTCACAAAAAGGGTTGAAATGAAAAAAAAACGATATTACGAAGGTTCATAATATTGGTCTACAGTTAATAATTTAGTCCTAAACGACAAAAAGACTAGTGGTATAAGATTCAGTTTGCCAAATATTAAAAGTAACGAATGTGACATATGTATTATTAAATGGTAACAATTTGTAAAACAAACTACTTTTCTAGGTATACCTATAGATGAGAAACTACATTGGGGGCCCCATATCACATCTCTGGCAGGACGATTGAGTTCTGCAGCATTTGCTGTCTGGAAGATCAGACAGCTAACAGATGTGGACTCTGCAAGACTGGTGTACTTTGGCTACTTTCATAGCATTATGTCGTATGGCATCTTGTTGTGGGGACAAGCTGCTGACATCGAGTCTATATTTGTCTTGCAAAATCGTGCCATCAGAGCAATTTACAACCTAAAGCGTCGTGAGTCTCTTAGAGAAAAGTTTAGAGAGATCAATATTATGACCGTGCCATGTCAGTTTATTTATGGAAATATAATGTAAGTTAGGAAACACTTAAACTTATTTGATAAGGTGTCAGACAGACATAATTATCAAACTAGACATAGAGATAGATTGTGTCAGTCATTATTTAGATTGGCAAAGGTACACAAGTCGTTCATGGGTGTTAAATGTTATAACAAAATCCCAGGCGAAACACAACAATTAAATGAAAGAAATTTTAAATTATGTGTAAAGAAAACTTTGTGTAAAAAACAATGATGTATAAAACTATAGATACGTTGTCCGCGCTCTAAAATGACAACATGAAATGAAGGCAATTGACAACATCGCGCTTAGTTACGCACCAACCTGCCGCGCGACGCTACGTTTGTTTTTAATTTATATCGTGTGTAAACCTGTGCGAAACACAAAGAAAGCATGTCGTCGTGTGTGTTCAGACGATGTACAAATTATACTCCAAAAGTTAAAGACAAAAATGTGTAATTTCATGCGTAAGTTCACCAAACAACCTATTTTTATTTTATTTTTTTCGACGCCGGCGCCCGCCATCTGATGGCGGCCGGCGCATGAAGGTATAGTCACGTGCCATCGGCATAACTGAAGAAGTATATTTATCTCCCTCTAGCAAAGGCATTCCACTATACGATGTCATATTTTCTTTCCCTTTCTTTACTCGTAGAAGTAGTTATCTAGTATTTTCGCTGTTTTTAAGCGCCGCGATGTTGGTTCATGACGTGTCTATATATAATACGTCATTGGTAAAAAAGCATATTACAAACTGAATGATTATATTGAGGATAAGGATGCTTGGAGACGCGCTGGTCCTGCTCCACAGGTTTTTTTTATGGTATAAGTCGGCAAACAAGCAGACGGATTACCTGATGG